CAATCCTAGACATGTATTTATAAAAAAAACCCAAACACTATTTAAACATAGAAACACACTCAAAATCAACAATTGTATATTTTTTGGGTGTGTGTAATAATGGGTTTTGGGTGTGTTTATAAAGTGTTTTGGATGTTGGGTTTTTTTATAATTTCAGCCCCCATTTTGGGTGTTTTAGTGAAACTCCCATTAAAAAAATGTTTTTTATTTTGAATTGGTAGGTAACATAAATAAAATATAGATATAAAATTATGTTACAAAAAAAATAAAAAATAGATAGTGAAACAAATGAATATTATTATTTTTTAAATGCGAAGGAAATGAATTTACTTTGAACTTAGTCAAAAAGATTTCACTTTGACTCAAAAAAGGAAGAAAAAAAACAATATCCGAAAAATATTGAAAAGGAGAGGAGAAAGGCGGTAGTGAAGATTTAATAGCAACTTTTCCAGTTACTTGGGTTTCCTAATCAACTCGTTTCACTTCTGCTGAAGTTGGGGTTTTTTTTTTTTTTTTCCTTCGGGCTGGCCTTTCGTCGAGCACCTTGTGTGCATTTGGGGTCGCCTAGCTTCTCGCCATGGGATCGTCTCAGACCTTCACAGAAGAATGGAAATCTCTCTTCCCAATTTCCTCAGTCTTCAAGCCTCCCCTCCTCCTTTCAAACCCTTCTCTAAAACCCATTCTGGGTCCTCTGATCTTCAACCCTAAACCCAACTCCACAACCCTCCTTTTTTCTTCTTCCTCTTCTCTCCTTCCCCCTCTCCCTCCTTTACCTCATCTCTCTCTCCCTCGTTTTCTCCTCACTTCCCCCCCTGACTCTGCCCCTCTTCCCTCCTCCGTTCCCTCCGTAGCCTCCTTCTTGGGCCCGCACCACCCCAAAAGCGACGTCTCCTCGTCTCTCCTCTACAACCGTCTTGAATTCCTTCAGTGCCCGCAGATTAACACCGTCGTTGTATTCTTCCCCACCGGTGAAAACTCTGACCAAGTTGGGTTCTTGCAGTTGGTGTTAAAAGATTCGACATTTGATGTCAAAGTGGATGAAAACGGAGGGGTTTTCGCTTCCAGGCGGTGGTTTAGTTATCGGATTTCGAGGATTTCAGTGAACCCGATTCCTGGGTTTTTGAGTTTAAGAGGTAATGGTTCTTGTGTGACAATTGGGTATTTATTGGCTTCTACTATGTACTCTGTGCATTGGTTTATTGTAAAGTTTGGAGATTTTGGTCCAAATTCAGATAGTAGGGTTAGTTTAGTTCATTTGGGTAGTAAGATTTTCAAGACTTGCTGTGTTGTACATGCTTGTTGGAGTCCACATTTATTGGAAGAGAGTGTGGTCTTGTTAGAGAATGGTGATTTATTCTTGTTTGATTTAGACTCTCGTCTAAAAACCCCCCACACTTTGAATGCAAATTTTAAATTTAATGGGACCAGATTGAAAGTGCCCTGGGATATTGATGATGGTTCGGGTAGCTCACGAAATTATAGGTGGTTGAGTTGTGAGTTCAGTTGGCACCCTAGAGTTTTGATAGTTGCACGTTCAGATGCAGTTTTCTTAGTTGATTTGAGGACCCATGAGTGTAATGTTAGTTGTTTGATGAAAATTGAGATGTTGCATATGTATGCCTCCGTTGAAAAGGAGCAGTTCCTTGTGCTTTCAAAGGCAGGTTCTGACGATTTTCACTTTGTTTTGGCTTCTGACACTTTGTTAGTTTTTTGTGATGTGCGCAAGCCATTGATGCCGGTGTTGCAATGGGCTCATGGCCTTGATAAACCAAGCTATGTTGATGTTTTAAGACTGTCAGAGTTGAGGTCACAGTCGAGGGATGACAAATTTAATTGGGCTTCTGACTCGGGTTTTTGCATTATAGTGGGGTCGTTTTGGAATTGTGAGTTTAGTATCTTTTGCTATGGACCTTCCCTCCCAGCTCCGATAGGATCAGTAGCTTCGAAAATAGCAGAACTTCGGAAATCCTTCTATGCATGGGAGCTCCCTTCAGATCTTTTATTGTCAGGCCATGAGTGCCATTGCGGAAGCTGTCTTGTAAAAGAAGAGTTTTCAAAAGACGCTCCTCCTGAATGGATTGATTGGCAGCAGAAGAAAGAAATTGTTTTGGGCTTCGGCATTGTAAACAAAGATCTGTCTTCTCTGCATTCTGAACCAGATGAATTTGGTGGTTTTACATTGATAAGACTTATGTCCTCAGGGAAGCTTGAATTACAGAGATATTGTGCATCATTTGATTCTGTAAAAAAAGTAGAAGAATCACACAGAGAACATTTGCTTTTTAAGGATTATTTGCTGTACTCCCTAGTTGATGAGGAATACAAATTTCCTAGGAAATTTAAGTACCTTAAACTTGACTACCTCTGTGGTTATCTGAATGGTAATCTTGATGAAGTCTTAGATGACAAAATAAAAATTCCCTATAATGATCAAGGGAAGGAACTTTTTAGCTCAGAGTTTCATGAAACTTTATGCAAAAAGTTACATGCTTGTGGTTTTGGTAAGTTTAGATAATCTCCTGCAGTTACAAGTGTTTTAAATGACATTAGCTTGCCCGCAAGCATACACGAGGTTGTTTTGAAGAGATTGTGGTCAGACTTGCCCATTGAGCTTCTGGAACTGGCCTTTTCTAACAACTCTGAAATCCTTGAAGTGCTTGTGGACAAAAATAGGGTGGCTTTGGAATTCTCTGTAGTACCAGACCTATCTCAGTTGCCTCCTTTCATTTTAAGGAAGTCTTCACGCCGCAGTAATAAGTGGTCACAGAAAGTGCAACCTGGTGATGCCCTTGTGGGTCCAGTTCTTCCTCTTCCTGTTTTGCTTGCACTTCATGAATATCGCAATGGATGTCCGAATTCAGATGAAAAATCAGGTAGATTTTCAGTAGAGGCAGAGATCAATCGCAGCTGTGATGAGGTCATGCAGGTCACCGGTGAACTGGCTGTTTCTATTTCTGAGGCTGAGATTGTCGATAATCCAGTGACGTCCCTTGTAATGATGGAGATGAGACATGGAGAAGCTCTCAAAAGTCAAAACCTTTCTTTTCATATCAGCCAGTTGCGGCTAAAGGATCTCCACTGGATCATACACAGGCCAAATCTGTTTATAAGGATGACAGGTTTGACACCTTAATTTCTAAAGTGTCTGATAAGAAGCATGTATCCAACGACAATCAGGATAATGTCGGACTAGAACTATTTGATGATCTTTGCCCTGTAGAGTTGAGATTTGATGCTTCTTCCCTGAAGTTTGAACAGAAGGAATTGGAGGCGTATTGTAAATTGAAGGGGGAATTCTTAAAATGGCAAAAGAGCTTTGACTTGTATCAAGAATTCTGCTCTCGGATTGAATCAAAAAGCTCATAAATGTTTCTTTAATTCTTTTTTCCATGTTCCTGCAAATTTTTCACCACTGAGTTAAAACCCTCCCTTCTGTACTTGTTTTCCCTGTAATTAATTTTGATTTATTTAGATTATAGATGAATAGGAAAAGTTCCTGTGTATACGACAGGATCATAATGTAAACAGCCACAGCTACCCAGACAAATCGTTTTATACAGTAAGGCGCAAAATGTTTGGTATTTCATATGGAGAGCTCTTCCTCTTGATTGGAGCCACAGCTGGTCTAGTTGGTATACACCCAATCTCTCTCTCTCTCTCTCTCTCTCTCTCTCTCTCTCTCTCTCTCTTTTGTGTTTATCTCAAAAGAAAAATGCGTTATACTCCAGTTTTTCTCTCAATCTTTTTCTGACTTAGGCGTGGGCTGGAACCTAAATGTTTGGGTACCCATGTGAGAGAGTTGGGCTGTTATAGCTGTAGCATTTTCAATTTCAGCATTGGTTCAGAATTTTTCTTTGCCAAGGTCAAAAATTGGGTAATTTTATTAGAAATATTGACTGAAAAAGTGAACTGGGTTTGATGTTTAATGGTTTGTAAATTGTAGGACCAAAGGATTTGCCTAGAATTGCTAGAACAGCAGGGAGGTTAGCGGGTCAGTCAATCGGGTATGTTCAGTTAGCTAGGGGCCAATTCGATAATGTTATGCAGCAGTCTCAAGCCCGCCAGGTACATTTTCTAATTACTTACTTAATGATAGTTTGATAATTATCATTCTATCGTCAATTCTTTGTAAGCTAACATGCATTGTGCACAATCGGGTAATGATTAGAATTTCAATGTCCTTGAACCAAATGATTTATCTGTTCATTTCATGCCCCTTGCTTGACCTTTAGGTTCATAAAGAACTTCAAGATGCATTCGCTCAACTAGAGTCGATTCGTTATGAAGTCCGGTGTATATCACTTATGAATCCTGGTCCTATGGCTAGAAGGCTGATGGATAATCCTCAAGACCTGGCTTCTTTGAGTGATGGTGGTATTCTTAATAGCCATACATTGCTGGCAAGTAATGTTTTGCTTCTCTCCTAGCTACCAGTTTATATGTATTCTTGGGGGCCAACAGTTCACTTGAGAAGCCCAAGGAGGAGCTGAAGTCAAGAAATACTGTGGTGAAGGTATGAATTATACTTTTCTTCATATAAATGGCCCACATTGCATCATCTTGAATTCCTTATACATATCTTTGACAGGATGATACTTTCAGAACCTCAGACTCACCTAATTTGCATAGCCAAGCAACTGCGTATGCAAAGTTGGCTGAATTTGAGGCTGTGAAGACTGGCTCTTTGAAGAACAGTGCAGAGCAAGAAAACCTTAAAAGATGAAAGTGGTCTTTTCATTGTCCTCCCAATTTCAGCTGAAAGCACTGGGATGCTACCAAATCGCAAAGGTTATAATCTTCTTGAGTTACGACACTTAATGATGTTATCATTTAGTTTACTTTGTCGTCTCAATTTGGGAACTCAGCTGGGAGCTGCCAGGAATGGACATTTCCTTTTCATTATCTTGAGGAACAACAAATATTTAAATTTTCTCAAGTACACTACTTAATTCTCTGTATTGCCCTAATTATCTTTGATTATAGAGGTCATGAATGTGTGTGCTGCACATATATTATGGTTTTCATATCAATGTTGTCTTTACTAGCCATTTTTTACATTTACCTTTGTATAATTGGTCAACAAAGGTGTCGCTCATGCTCTTAGTCTAGTTGTGTATGATTCCCCTATATAATTGGTTTCTATTGAAGGTAACTGTATCTGGATTGTTGAGGCTTCACTTGGTGGGCTATTGGCTTAAACATGTCATAGGAATACTCTTGAAATAATGTTTGGAAATGCAATCCTTGATTGCACAGTATGAAAACTCTTGCACATTAACTTATTTCTATAAAACCTATGTTCTGGCACACACAAATATTGTTCCAATGTATAACTGAACATGCCACAACTTTTCCAGAGAATTCGCAAATAGTTTTGCTTTTCGTCTTAGATATATATGTCCAAATAAACCAGTGGTTGTGATGAAAATCAAATACACTGAACTGAAAAGATGACGATACTTTTATTTATTTATTTATAATAATTTGGTATGTTTAGTATTAAATAACAAATACATAAGTGAAGAAGGTTTATGTTAGGGTAACTTTTTGTTTTGTTGATGATAAAATCGAACAAGGTTTATGTTACTACTCGAAGATGTAAAACTACTGGAGATCCTTAAGATCTTTTTTTTTTTTTTTGCATTGGGACCAATGAGAATTGTTACATAGAAAGCAGTTTATCGTGATGGACAAATTTTGTTCACTTTTTTAAATGGTTGGTGTATTAGTATGTGGGGATGTATAGGGTGTAGTGCGTAAGGGCAGGAGAATGTGCGTGAGAAAATTTGTTTTTGGCTATGCATATCAACACATGCTAGTTTTACAATGCTAGCTCAATTGCTGGCATTATTTGCTGGTGAAAATGCAACATGATTGGCTTCAGTTTCCCTTAGGTGCTGTTTGATTCAAAGGGATTAACTGCAATGGAATGCAATCATTGCCATTGAAAGCTCCATTACAATGTTCGTTTTGGCAATATGACTCTTGAAAGCCCATTCCAATTAACCGTTGGTGGACCATTTCCAAAATAAAATGGGTGGAAAGGCCGTTCGAACACGACGCCCATTGGATGCCAACACCTCAAGCTCTAGGAGTTCCCTTCCATGGTTTTCACCTCTCGGTCTCTCACCTCAAGCTCAACCAGTTCACTTTCATGGGTTCCCACTTGTATTTTGAAGACCTGATCAACATGATTCTTTCACCAACAGAATGTGAAACCAATATACAGAATGATACTAGTTTCTAGATTTTAGTCTATAATTCTTGTTCTATTGCATATAAGTCTTTGATCAAGCATGTATATATATCATCCCTGTAAAGAACACCAATATCATATTGAGTTATTAATGCAATCTACAAATTTGCCATTCCTTTGTAGAAATAATGAAGGTATTATAAACTGTAATGTGATATGATTTGTCACATTTTATGGCTGTGATCTTTTTCTGAATGCCTTTTATCTTATTCCTTGGATTTTTTTAGAGGTAAAAATGTCCAAGTTCATTTGCTTTTCCTGTCAAGATTTAGAGGTAAAATGTCCACCCACGTTGTCCATACCTCTCTAACCTCTCCTCCCAGTTTCCATTGAATTGAGAAAACAAGACGGGTGTTTAGTAAGAATGGTGCTCGGGGGGGACTAATTGAAATTAGTAACTATGCATCTGCCAGTCTATTGAAGTCATGGTTATTCAAAGATCTACAACATCTTCTATCATTTTATTAGTTCACAATTTTATCAATTCCACATTCAAATTCGTTTGTTTTCTACGAAGTAGAAGTATGGTTTGACCACATCTCTTTTTGACTGGAACCCCTTTTTTAGTTCCATTTTCTAAACAAAGTTGTGTTGAGTAGTTCAAGCGTGGAAAGGTTGTCATTGATGAGTGTAGGGAGATTCTCCAATGTGTATTTAAGTATTAGTTACATCTTGGCCGTTGGATTGCATTTAAGAGACTACCAATATATTTCATGATGGCAATCCAATGGCCAAGTTAGAAGCATGTAGTTAATCCTTAACATAAAATACTTATTGGAGAATCTCCGATGAGTGTCTTTTCATATCTTTAAGCGTCAGGTGACGATGAACTAGTTATAAAAGTTTGAATTACTCTTAGTTATTTATCAACAATTTCAGATGATGGTTTGTGTAAATCTTCTTACTGATTTTAACTGAAAAATATTTCATCTTGATTTTTCTTTGTTTGACCCTCAGTTATTATCTTTATCATATGTCTAACCTTTGCACTGGATATAGGAGAAATTTGTATTTTATACATCTAGAGTCCAGATCTTTTAAATTTTGAATCTTGAATTAAGCAAGTGTGTTTGGAGATTTGTGAACCACCATTTGATTAACATGATTGAGCACTAGGTTCTTTTGTATCTATTTAAGTGCATATATCATATCTAAATTAGTCAAATTACACAAACTTTAGCATAAATTTCTTGTAGGCTGTAGCTATGTTACTTTCCTTGTATACTTGACTGTTAGTATTATTCTTTTTTGTACTGGCATGCGTCATGATTCACTTATTTTGAGAAATGCATGTCATTCCTTAACCTCCTTTATCATGTCATTTACAAGGTTGGGGAACTCAAGAAACTAGTTGAAGAAGGTAAGGTAAGGTACATTGGCCTATCCGAGGCCTCAGCTTCCACAATAAGAAGAACACACGCTGTTCATCCAATAACAGCTGTGCAGGTGGAGTGGTCATTGTGGTCAAGAGATGTGGAGGAAGATATAATTCCTACTTGCCGGTGAGTCTTAATGGAACTAACTGATTTGTTTATAAAGTAGGTAAAATTTCATGCTAACCTCATTTTTCGATTTTCCCAGGGAACTTGGCATCGGCATTGTTGCATACAGTCCTCTCTCATCAGGAGCTAACTTGGTCGAAAATCTTCCCAACGATGATTTCCGAAAGGTATGTTGATATGCCAAATAGGTATTTATTTTCAAGTGCACAAGTGCATGCACATTAGAGAAAATTAGTAGCATTGTGAATGTCCTTCTATCTCCTAGAAAGTCCTCAAATTAGTAATTGATCTCACAAGTTTTAGTAATCTCTACTAGCAGGCGAGAACTCTCCTATCCTATAAGGGCCTTTGAATTGTGCCTCCTCTTTATCATATCATTTTGATAAAGTCATTTTAACCTTGATTACTTTGTTGGTTGCAGTATCTACCCAGGTTCCAAGCCGAAAACCTAGAGCATAATAAAACAATATTTGAGAGGGCTAGTGATCTTGCGGCAAGGAAGTGGTGCACCCCATCTCAGCTAGCACTGGCCTGGGTTCATCATCAAGGAAACGATGTGTGTCCAATACCCGGATCCACCAAGATTGAGAATTTTAACCAGAACATTGGTGCTCTCTCTGTGAAACTGACACCAGAAGAACTGGCTGAGCTTGAATTTTTTGTTTCTGCTGATGCCGTTAAAGGTGGCAGATATCAGAATGACTTTAGTACTTGGAAGAACTCTGAAACTCCTCCAGTGTCTTCATGGAAAGCCACATGAGCAATGGCGGATCCAGGATTGTTATCCTAAGGGGTCTTAGTGTAAAAGTTCTGATATTTCTTTTAAGATGAAAATAACGCTAAAAGATAATTTTCTATTACTTTCCTCTTATTGTTCCATAATTCTAAGCATGAATTAATCAAACCAAACAGTCAATTTTTTTTTTTTTTTTTTTAAAAAGAAACAAATTTGATTAAGACAAATGAACAAACCTATCTTATTATAAGTTATCCATCACAAAATTAATCATAAATCCTAAATTCCAACAAATCAAATAATCATATATAGTCATTCAATCCAATAAATCATCCACACACAAAATCATCAATATTCATCCATTCCAATATATCAATATCCAATAAAAATATTATGCATTATCATCAAACAAAAGAATGTAACATAAGTATACCAAGAACAAGAAATTTATAAAATCAGAGATGGAGAGGGAAGAGAATAAAATTTTCAGCCATGTTGAGGGTTTGAGGGGAGATTTAGTTTAGGGTTTAGGATAGAAAATAATAGAATTTGGGGATTTTAGGAGTCCATTTAAGTGTTTGAGTTGAATGGAGCAGAGACATGGTGTAAATTATTTTAGTATTTTTATGTTTTTCATAAATCTTGTTGGGAAATATAAAGGGTTGTTGGGCAGAGGTGTATGTTAAACTTTGGCCAATATTTTTTAGATTTGGTAAAGTTTTATGATTAAAGCAATGGGATGAATCATAAATGACGTAGGTTTGGGTGGGTTTGGACTTTGGGGGGAGTTGCTGGGCCAAGCCATTTTAAAGACAATTCCTGGGTCAAAACGACATAGTTTTGCCCAGGATGTTTATAAAAAAAAAACAACAGTGCTTCTTCTTCCTCGCAACTCGTTTCTTCCTCACGTAAAACGTTGAGCACCAGGTGTGCAACTCCAAGGGGTCTCTCCCCCAGCTCCAAGGGACCTCTAAGCCTATTTCCATGGCTTCCAAGAGGTTGTGCGAACCCACTGACCCCACTGTGGCTCCGCCACTGCGCATGAGCATGTGCCTTTTGTCATGCCATAATGCTTCTTTGTACCTCATGAGCTTTGTAAATTTCCTTACCGTTACGAGAATAAGTAGTTCATATGAAGTGGTATGTAATGACTGACTTCGAGACGTTCATCATTTTGTAAGCAGTTTTCATCATGTTGGATGAGTATCCAAAAGTATGAAATAATCTGCAGTCAAACGAAGTTTTTCATTTTATTTCTTTGACTTAATTTTCTTTGTCACTTGCAATTTTTAAGAGATCAAACTCTTCCACTCTCTCCTTACCTCTAAGACCTCCTTCATCCCCTTTTTCCTACCTTAAACTCTTTTGGAATTAACTGAACATCATTTCCCTTGGCAGCAATAACATTTCTATTAGAAGCTGCAATCGTTCCTTTAGAAGCATAACATTTTCGTTCTTTTTTTTCTTTCTATTTTGATAATACAATATCTATACTATTCTAATGTACGAGGAGGGGATCAGACATGGGTGAAAAAGAAATGGGTACCCTGC